GCTTGAAAAACTTAATGATGTAATTTTCCAGCTCAAACACTGAAAAATTAAGGGCTGCCCTCACCTTGAAACATAGTTTTACCGGTTTCTCCCAATTTCCCGACCGCGCGTGAGAACCTCGAGTTTTTGTTAAACTTATATTAAAGTTTTTCTTCATTACCCATTCAAGCCGTTTCCAGCCATTATTAGTCTCAAAGTGGGTTCCTCGTCATCGAATTTTAATTGTTACTATTATTGTCAATGTTTGTGACTACTTTTGAGCTATTTTTCTGAAAGTTTTGAGTTATTGTCTCAATGTTTGTGACTAGTTTTTAGTTTTTGTTCTTAATGGTTGCGACTGATTTTTAGTTATTTTTATGAATATTTGCGATAATTTTTGTTGCTATTTTTCTGGATGTTTGCTATTATTCGTTATTATTCCCAATGTTCGCGACTAGTTCTTAGTTAATTTTATGAATATTTGCGACTAGTTTTTGTTAATTTTCTGTAGTATAGTAAGTGACCAATGTTCGTTCTTATAATTGTAAATTACTAGATATTACCATATTCCCTAGTCTTTCTGCTTTTGACGACGATTCCCTCTTAAGTGAATGTTTTTTGATTTTCTGACTTTTATTCCAGCCACCACGTCCAGAGGTCAGATTTGGAGAACTTAAAGGTTACTACATTGGCTACAAAAAAGTAGGATCAGCGGACTCGTATGTATATAAAACACTAAGCCTAGATGGTGAAACTCACGTGGATGAAACACAAGTGAATAACCTCCATCGTTTCACCAAATACAACATCGTAGTCCAGGCCTTCAACAGCAAAGGAGCTGGTCCTTACTCTGATGAAGTCCTTGTGCAGACCTTACCAAATGGTAAGTTAAGATAGGCCCAACTTAAAAGTACATTAACAGAGATTCTTCCGATAGGTAAAATATAATTCACTGTAACCATCGGTAAAATAAGATTGACTCTACCAAATGATAAGTTTACATTGACCAAACCATCAAGAAGCGATGTACAATTGATTCCTTCATACAATAATATAAGAATGACTGTACGAAATGGTGAACCAAGGTTGGCATAACCAAACGACAATCCAAGATTTGCAATACTAAACAGTAAAGTGGCTTGTACGGCTGACTGTATCAAATGATAAACTAAACTTGATCCCACTGAATGTTATTACAAAATTGGCTCTACCAAAACACAGTATAAGACCGACTGTACCAAAATATAAGCTAAGGTTTAACCTATCAAATCGAAAGCAAAACATTAAATTCAAGACACTTCTAAGCACTAGGGTAAGACGACTTACCTGACCAAATCAAAGTGAAGATGCTGAGCTCTAGACATTATCAAAACCTTAGTACCAACTAAAATTAAGATTGTTGAATCACAAAATATGTCGTAAACTAAAAATTTGTACATTTCTTCAGACGGTAAATTAAGACAAGATAGATAACATTAAACTGTAAGTTTAAACAGATCTTACCTACTGTTACCAAACCGATTTATAACTTAAAACACTCAATTTTACAAAGTTTCTATTTCTGTTATAGGTGACGTAAGATGCTGTGTCCTTGGATCTGTTATGTTAGTTTAGCATCTAGACTACAATTTGTGGTTGAGGATTTGATCTGTTATGTTAATTTAACATCTAGATCACAACGTGTGGTTGAGAGTTTGAACTGTTAAGTTAGTTTAACATCTAGACCACAACGTGTCTTCTTATTTTATGATATATTAAAACCATTTTTCCTTTTTTTTGGCAGCATTAACACCTGGTGGCTGCTCCAAGCAATTCGAAGCGAAATACTGAAGTGAGATTGTGATGAAGTTAAAGTCCCATGCAGAATACGAAAAATAGCACTAAACAATAGAATATACGAAATGGTTTAATACTTAGTTAGGGGGAGTAAGGTCTGTGCCAAAAGTTTTCATTTAACTTTTGGTTGTTTGTTTCAGAATTTTGAATAAAGCTACAAAGGGGCTATTTAAGCATAGCCCTCCGTAATTATGAATTGACAGGCTAAGACGTACATGAATACATCTATTCTTTATAAGAGAAAATTGAAAATATTGTTTGTTTTTGAGTAATTCATCTTTATTCGATATCATTTTATATATATGTGTGTATTTTGCATATAATATAAGGTTATATAAGTATTGTATGATACGTTGTGTTAAACACCGATGTGTTAGTCTTAGACATCTTGTTAGCGTAGTGATGGGGAATGAATCCAAAATGTCCACGTTACTTTGGTCTGCGCAACAATACGTGTGCTACGCCAAGCAACTACGCGTTTCTTTACCTTACCTTAAGCCTGCAGTAATATACTGTCTTACGACTGTTGTTCTTCAACAATATTGCTGTAGTATCATTGTCATGACATACTCGTTAAGTATAATGTTGGTAATGTTTTCATTTTTCTTTATCTGTATACCTGAATTTGTGTTTGTTTGTTTGTAGTTAAGCACAAAGCTACACAATGGGCTATTTGTGCTCTGCCCACCACGGGTATCGAAACCCGGATTCTAGCGCTGTAACTTCGCAGACATACCGCTGAGTCACTGGGAGCCCTGAATTTGTGATACTTTTTAATATAAGCACTGAAAACTGTTAGAACGAATATGTCCAAAAACGAAAGTGTGGAGAAGGCTATCATATTCAACATTGGTTATATTTGAGATTCTAGAAAGAGGGACAGTTTAATTTGTTAATAAAAAAGTGATGAAATATTCACATTCAAGATAAATTCACTAGTGTAAATGAAAAAGCTACGTTACTCAATACAACTAGAGGTGACACGTACGAAGTCTATTAAGGGTTATTAGTATTTTATGAGAACGATGGTCCAGGTTCCTTGTTCTTGGAACTATAACTTTGATCCTCATGTGTGGTCACTCTGATGGTCATCATTATACACTGCAGTTTCTATTGTAAGTAGCTTTTGTAAAAGACCGTGAGATAATGTTTTAGACCACATACCTTGACAAACTTTCCCCCGTACAAAGACCACGGGTCTCAAGACCATGTTTAAACAAACCAGAGGAACCAAAGTCTATTGGAACTGCCATGAGGGACTTCAGAGATATGTGGCCAAATATAACTGCCGTGATTCCATTTTCTTTGGATGTTTTTCCTAAGAAAACATTCGTTGATTTGTAGTTGTGACTGGGAACTGGCAGTTTGGTTTACTTAGGATTTTCATGAAAAGATACACACCGGTAATCCGCGCTAGCCATCCCGAATTTGGAATTGACAGACTAGAAGTCAGCGAGTCAACAGTGTCATGCGTCATGTTTTGGGATACTCTAATTGAATAGTTGGAGTTGGCCATCAGTCTTATAACGTTCCCATGCTTCCAAAGTGTAGAGAGCGATTTTACGGCAACGGAACACAAACTGTGCATTCTCGAATCCGTAATATTGCTCGTTGAACATTCTACACACCTGATCATAGAAGATAGAATAACGTTCTAATCGCATAGTTGAATGATCGGGAATTGGATGTGAATCCAAATATACAATTAACAAAAATGGAACAAGTGTCAAACGAAATATTTAAGACTAAGTGTTGGAATATTCCATTTTCTGATTGGGTTGACTAGAAAGTAGACGAATCAAATTTTCCAAAACTGATAACTTGGATAATCTGGAACACTTGCAAAATTAAACATATTGAAACTAAGTATCAGAATATTCCAATTTCTTACTAGGTTGACTTCGAAAGTGAAGGAATTCAGGTAATTTAAGGCCGGAAAAAATTAAACAAACTCTATTTTTAAATATCCCCTCAACCACACATTGTAGTCTAGATGCTAAACTAACATAACAGATCAAACCCTCAAACACACGTTGTGGTCTAGATGCTAAACTAACATAACAGATCAAACCCTCAACCACACATTGTAGTCTAGATGCTAAACTAACATAACATAATGGTATCTGAACATTTCTTTCGGTTTAAGTTAGTATGAAATCTCATTAATTTATTCGGCTTAAGCTAGTATGGTTTTAAGTTACTGTAGTAACTTATAAATATATATCCACTTTAAATCTTCCATAAATTCTCACCCATGCCCTCAGTTTTGGTACTTATGACATTGCTTGGTTCTCCTTTTCCTGCAGAATTGAAGGCCAAGAGGTAGAGCTGATAGCGAGCCCCGCACTTCAAACCTGTAACTGTGTATCGCTTAGATTGTCCAGATAACGTCCTCTCCTCCCATTCAGCTTTGTCCTGCTTGTAGTAGAGCAAATAGCCTGTGTTCGAAAACAAAATGAAGCTGTTACAGATTTATCAGCTTCATCCTGCTTGTAGTAGAGCAAATAACTTGTGTTAGAAAACAAAGTGTGCTATTGCAGATTTTATCAGCTTTATCATGCTTGTAGTAGAGCAATTAGCCTGTGTTCGAACACAAAGTGAAGCTGTTACAGGTCTTATTAGTTTATCCTGCTTGTAGTAAAATGAATAGCTTGTTGTTACAAGTTTGGTTTGTTTTGAATTTCGCTCAAAGCTACACGAGGGCTATCTGCGTTAGCCATCCCTAATTTAGCAATGAATACCATCCACCGCCAATTCTTGGGCTACTCTTTTACCAACGATTTGTGGAATTGACCGTCACATTATAACAGTCCCACGGCGGAAATGGCGAGCATGTTTTGTAACGAGGATTCGAACCTGCGACCCTCAGATCGCGAGTCGAGCGCTCTAACCACCTGGCCGTGCCGGGCTTACTACAAACAGACCAACAAAGTGAGTGTAAAACACTTAAATAAACCATTTCGAAACCCTAGTAGTTAGTCTGTCTTATAATGGTAAGAACAACATCTGAAACAAATAACACGCGATTCACTTACGACAAACGTTTCCATTCAAAACATCAAACAAACAAAAACTGTAGTGACTTTAGAGGTAACCGGATTTTAATAGTAAAAGTATAATGGTAAAACAAGTTGTCCAGTTTCCTGTAAAACAAGCGTCCGATTACATATAAAGTAAGCCTGTAAGACATACTATTCAATCTTTGCTATAGTACTAAAAGTATATCACAGTTTAAAAGGAACCAAAACTATGAAATTGATCTACCAATCTTTGAATAGTTTTTAGTAGCAATTTGTTGTTGAAATTTAAAACCCTTTGTTGTCACATTTTATAACCTTTGGCCACATATGGAGTATATCTTTTAAATAACTTTTGGTTACATATAAAGTATATGTTTAAACTAGCCTTTGATTGCATATAAAAGTACATCTTTTAAATTCGGTGCTAATAACAATGTACGGACAAACCGTGTTTATAAAAAAGGTATATGGTAAAGATACTTTTAGGTGTACGCGAAGAGAAATTCGTGAAACCGATTCGTAGCAACAGAATGTGCAAAACAACAGATGATTAACATGTTATTGTTAAAAAAGCTAAGCAATTGAGATGAATCTGCTACCAGTGTTAGGACTATTACATTTTTTATCTAGTCCCTTAGTTTCTAGAATTAAAGAGTGTATAATAATTATAGTATTCCAACCATACCATATTTATCATATCCATTGCCTACGACGCGTTTCGCTCAATCCAGAGCTCTTCTGACTGGCTGGGATACAACTAACACAGCAGTGGTCGGTACACTATTTATACAAGCCATTTGATACAACAACAATTGTAAATAGAAGGATTAGCTGTTTCTCCATCTTCACAACTTCTATGTTGTAATAAATCATGTTAATATTTTATTAGGATAGAAGATATAAAGCTGTACAACACACAGTCTATCTAAAACGCATTAAAAGAATGTCGGAGGAATATTTTAAAAATGGAAAATTTATCTAAAATTATCCGTTATCTCGGTGAAACATATGTAGATTGTGGATCAATTTTTTTCTTTCCCTTTACATAAAGATAATTTTTCAAATTAACTACATACGTAGAAATAAACATACTTTACCTGTAACGGGGTTGCTGTCCTTGGTGTTTTCGTCCCACGCTATTTCAACAGAAGAAGTCGAGGAGGTCGAGACACGCAAAGTAGGAGACATAGGAGGATCTGGAGGAAACATGAGGAAAAGGTAAGAAATAATGTGTCCAAGTATTTATTTATTTATAAAGTATTGAAATGTTCTGGGCCAGGTGGTTAGGTCGCAATCTGCGGGTCGCAGTTCGAATCCCCGTCCCACCAAACATCCTCGCCCTTTCAGCCGTGGGGGCGTTATTATGTGACGGTCAATCCCACTATTCGTTGGTAAAAGAGTAGCCCAAGAGTTGGCGGTGGGTGGTGATGACTAGCTGCCTTTCCTATAGTCTTACACTGCTAAATTAGGGACGGCTAGCGCAGATAGCCCTCGTGTAGCTTTGCGCGAAATTCAAAACAAACAAACAATTGAAATGTACTGAACGGTCAGCGATTCCGTTTCTCAGCAATGTGAACGGTCAAATACCATACCATGCTATTTGTTAAGGCAGCTACTGATGCTTGGTAGTTGTTATACTCTGTATTGTAATGTTAATTCAAGTCGTTAAAACTGGTCCTTTTAAATGTACATTATGATGACCAACTTACTTATCACTTTACCATTCATTCACTTTGAAAATTAGTTCAAATTGTGTATGACATGTCTCTTGTGATATATTAGTCCAAGGCTCGACTCGCAATCTGAGAGTCGTGGGTTCGAATTCCCGTCACACCAAACATGCTCGCCCTTTCAGCCGTGGGGGCGTTATTACGTGGCGGTCAATCCCACTATTCGTTGGTAAAAGAGTAGCCCAAGAGTTGGAGGTGGGTGGTGATGTCTAGCTGCCTTCCCTCTAGTCTTACACTGCTAATCTAGGGAGGCTAGCGCAGATAGCCCTCGTGTAGCTTTGCGCGAAATTCAAAACAAACAAACAAATATTAGTCCAAACTGTGGATGATATGTCTCCTGTGGTATATTATTCCAAACTGTGTATGATAAGCCTCCTGTGGTATATTAGTCCAAATTGTGTATGATATGCCTCCTGCGGTATATTAGTCCAAACTGTGTATAAGATATGCCTCCTGTGGTATATTAGTCCAAATTGTGTATGATATGTCTCCTGTGGTATATTAGTCTAAAATCTGTATGATATATGTCCTGTGGTATATTTCTAGCATAGTTTGTTGGTTTCTGCTAAGTTCCGTAATTTGATGAGGTAGTGCTATATAAGTAGTAACCCGGGAATCCTGCAATCGTAAATACAACATTAGTGGTGACAGATGTAGACCAGATAGGTTCTTCGATTCCATATCACAAAGATATTGGTGTTTGAGGTTGAAATTCTTGAGTATACGCAGGGAGAAAGATGTCTGGTTGGATTCTCGCATTTGCTGTTCAGTTTCCACGTTTTATACTGGTATCGATGTTATTTTTTTTACTTGGTTAATGTTGTTTTGTACTTCCGGTTTTTAATTAGATGATGTTGTGTTATACTTCCATATTTTACTTGATGATGTTGTTTTGTACTTCCGGTTTTTAATTAGATGATGTTGTGTTATACTTCCATATTTTACTTGATGATGTTGTTTTGTACTTCCGGTTTTTACTTTGGCTGATGTTGTTTTGTACTTCCGGTTTTTATGTGTCGTGGAATAATACATCCGATAAGCTTTCTGACATCCTGTTTTGTTTTGTTTTAATTCTCCAGCCGTTTCATTTTACATTGAGGAATTGGTTTCGTGGTATTGCTATTATAATTGGAATTGTACTGAGTGTAACTTTTTTAATTGTGCAATTATTTTGTAGACCTGCTTTATAAGCAGTACAAGTTTGCACTGTACATGTTAATTTTGCGGAAGGTTGAGAGTTTGAACTAGATTAAACCCAGGGAATTGAGGTGCTATACATGCTTAAACTGAGGAAATTGTTGACATACCACACTAAGTTGAACACAGATCACTTAGGTACTAGACTACCTTAAACCCAGAGACCGAAGTACTATATTAGCCTAAAACCCAGTTTCTGAGTTACTATACTAGCTTAAACTCAGTGTCTGAGTTACTATACTAGCTTAAACTCAGTGGCTGAGGTACTATACTAGCTTAAACTCAGTGGCTGAGGTACTATACTAGCTTAAACTCAATGAATTAAAGTGTATAGTACATCATTCACTGGGTTTAAGCTAGTGTAGCACCTCAATTACTTGGAGATAAACTAGTATAGTACCTCATTCACTGAGTTTAAGCTAGTGTAGTACCTCATTTTCTGGGTTCAAGATATTATATTATCTCAATTCCTAGCGTTTAAGCTAGTATAGTAAATCATTCAGTGGGTTTAAACCAGTGTAGTGCCTCATTCACTGTGTTTAAGCTAGTATAGCACCCCCAGTTCCCTGGGTTTAAGCGAGTATAGTACCTGATTCACTGTGTTTAAGCTAGTATAGTATCTCATTTACTGTGTTTAAACTAGTATAATACCTCAATTCGCTGGGTTTCAGCTAGTATAGTACCTGATTCATCGGTTTTAAGTTAGTATGGTATCTGAACTATTTCTTCGACTAAAATTGTATGGTATGTCATCAATTCTCTCAGTTTAAGCTAGTATAGTACCTCAATTCCTTGTGTTTAAGCTCGTATAGTACATCATTCTCTGTGTTTAAGCTAGTATAGTACCTTATTCATTGGGTTTAAGCTAGTGTAGTAACTCAATTCACTGGGTTTAAGCTGGTATAGTACCTCAATTCTCTGTGTTTAAGCTAGTATAGTACCTCAATTCTCCGTGTTTAAGCTATTATAGTACTTCAGCCACTGGTTTAAGTTAGTATAGTACCTAAGTTATCCGTGTTTAAGTTAATATGGTATGTCAACAATTCCCTCAGTTTAAGCTAGTTTTTTACCTCAATTCTCTGTGTTTAAGCTAGTATAGTACCTCAGCCACTGGTTTAAGCTAGTATAGCACCTCTATTATCTGTGTTTAAGTTAATATGGTATCTCAACAATTTCTTCGGCTTAAATAGTATGGTATCTCAACAATTCCCTCAGTTTACGCTAATATTGTACCTCAATTCCTTGGGTTTAAGATAGTATAGTACCTCAATTCTCTGTGTTTAAGCTAATATAAAACTGAATTCCTTGGGTTTAAGCTAGTATAGTACCTTATTCACTGGGTTTAAGCTGGTATAGTACCTCTATACCTTGGGTTTAAGCTAGTATACTTCCTCAATTCCTGGTTTTAAGCTAGTATAGTACCTCAATTCTTTGTGTTTAAAGTAGTGTAGTACTTCAGCCACTGGGTTTAAGCAAGTACCTCATTCTTTGAATTTAAGCTAATATAGTACCTCAATACTTGGATTTAAGCCAGTATAGTACGTCATTCACTGGGTGTTAGCTAGTTTTGTATCTCATTCTCTGAGTTTAAGCTAGTGCAATACCTTATTCTTTGAGTTTAAGCTAGTATAGTACCTTAATTCTCTGTGTTGAAATTAGTTTATTACCTGAATTCCTTGGGTTTAAGCTAGTATAGTACCTCATTTCCTTGGGTTTAAGCTAGTATAGTTAGCTTAAACCCAAGGAATCGAGGTAGTATACC